CTTAAATAGGGAACACCACAATTTTCATTTTCTAAACATTTCTTTCCCCTTTCACTTACTTTTTTGATTTCCTTTAGGTGGTCTACGAAGATGTCATCAGTCTACATTACTGATAAGTGCCTTCTAAGTGCATACGTGTCATTCAAATGAGAAACGTCTTTGTGTAAAAGTTAAAGTGTCCTAGGTAGGAGTGTAAATACTCACATAGGTACATACTCACATATATAAATACACTGAATACATATTGTCCTTTGTATTAGAAGTAAAAGTTTGCCTTGACTCTGGGCAACATGGGAGTCAGGCTCCCTCATCTCTGTGGGTTTGTGTACTTTGTCAGGTACTTAGCAGACCATGGTTGGGAAATAAACTCTTTAGAGCCAAGGAGTGAGTTTCGTTTATTGTTTTATGCACCACCGGTATGAGGTTTTTAGTGACTGTGTTTCAGAGCTGTTTCTCTTCTAGAACCCATTCCTGCAGGGCCATGTGGTTATGCTTCATGTGGGCCACTAGGTCAGGACTTCTCTAGACATTGCCGTTTCCTTCTGGCATTTGTCACTGGTTGTTAGGGCTCCCTGTGAAGTTAGCACTTCAGATTCCCCCGGGCAACGGTGGGTGGCAGCCAGGTCCAGAAGGCCCAGGTCATCTCTGTCCTCCACCAGATATTCCAGCGGATCTTCGTGCCAATACCCCCAGCAGGAATCGGGGTTCCTTGCTGGTGGGCGTAGGCGTGGAGATTCTTATAACAAGATAGTAATATTTTCCCAGCACCACGGATGATATCAGCTCTGATAACGCTTTGCCTCTGGAGTGACAGTGTCCTCAGCCCAAACTCTAGTGGACTCACTCCCTGAGGGCAGGTTCACCCCATCCTGAGGTCTTCAGAATCCCCTGACATTACAGGGGCTTGTGTCTTTGTTGGCAAAAGAACCTGTCAGGATCCTCACCTTTGTGCTCTGTGGTGACCTCCTCCTGAGCCAGGACCCAGGTGTCAGTGGTGCCCACAGCCCTAAACACTGACAGCAAACATTTGTTTTGTCTAAGTAGGTGGAGGCATTACTTACGCAATTGCAATCATTGATCTTCAGTGGGCTTTTCAATCCCTTCCTCTCCTGATGGGCACTTGGGCTGTTTCTAAATCTGAGCTATTGTAAATTGTGCCGCTATGAACACAGGAGTGCATAAATTCTTCCTGATTGGTGTTTTGTGTTTCTGTCAGGATAGATTCCTAGAAGTGGGATCACTGGACCAAGTGGCATTTCCATTTTTAATTTTTTTGAGGAAACTCCATTCTACTTTCCACAATGGTTACATGAGTCTTCATTCCCACCAGCAGTGTACTAGGGTTCCATTTTCTCCACATCCTCACCAGCACTGGCCACTTGTTGATGGTAGCAATTTTGACAGATGTGCGGTGATACCTCATTGTTGTTTCAATTTGCATCTCTCTGACAATCAGTGACTTTGAGCATCTTTTCATATGTCTCTTGGCCATCTGTATGTCCTGTTTGGGTCCTTTGCCCATTTTTTAATTGGATTGTTTGTCTTCACTTTGTTAAGTTGTATGAGTTCCTTATAAATTTTGGATAGTAATGCTTTATCAGATGTATCATGAGCAAATATGTTCTCCCACACACTGGGCTCCCTTTTCATTGTGTTGATGGTTTGTTTTGCTGTGCAGAGCTCTTTATTTTGATGTAGTCGCATTTGTGTATTTTCTCCTTACTGTCCTTTGCCCTTGAAGTTGTAGCCACAAACATATTGCTTTGAGAGGTGTCTGAGGTTCTGCCACCGATGGTTTCCTCTAGGATTGTTATGGTTATCATGTTTCACATTTAAATCTTTTGTCCATTTTGAGTTTATTTTGTGTATAGTATGAGTTGATAATCCAGTTTCCTTTTAGGATGTGCTGGTGTAGTTTTTATTATTCAAGTGTCTACTTAAATTATTGAACACATTAAGCTCAGAATTTCTGAGCGGGGCACAGGTGATTTAATGACGAAGTCTCTCAGTAGAAACTTGTAGAACAGAAACTGGTGAACTTCAGCTGCTCATTCAGTCTGTGTGTTTCTATTGGGCTTCTCTGTTCCTCCCTCTGTTTCATGCTCAGGATGCAGGGCAGTGAGGCTCAGGCTGCTAAGTCAGGGAGAAACAGCCTTCAATCCTTAATTATTCATGGTGCTTCATTTTACATGTAAATGACCACATAGTCATTACAGTGGTTTCCTGGGCATAGTCTGTCTTGCTCCTCAGGCATTACTTTTTAAATAATATATATATTAGATTTTAAAATATATTTGTATTGATTTTAGAGAGGAAGGGTGAGGAAGAGCCAGTCAGAAACTTGAATGATAAGAGAGTCATTGGTGGGCTGCCTCCTGCATACCCCCTACTGGGCATCAAGCCCACAAGCTAGGCACGTGTCCTGAACAGAAACCAGACCGTGACTTCCTGATTTACAGATTGATGCTCAGCCACTGAGCCAGGCCAGCTGGGCAATCACACATTGCTTTCTACTTCACTCTGTGGTTATTACAAGCAATGAGGAGCAAAGAAACACAAAGGGACTTCACCATTTTCCTCTATAATTATCATGACGTCAGACTTTTTATTTGCTTTTTCAACTTTCCCAGAAAGTAAAATTGAGTTGTTTGTGGGCAAAAATGAAACAAATAGAATTCTGCGGGTCAAGAAGAGAAAGAAGGGAAGTGACTTCTGATGACAAGAGGACAAAGTGTAAGTTGGCAGAATTGACTGCAGCCACACGGGGTTCCTGGTGCTGAGGCAGAGGGAGGATGGAGCCAGCCCTGAGCTACACCAACTCAGGAATGGGCTGCCTCTGCCATATGCTCAAAGAACAGGATCTCCTGGGCCAGTGACCAGCCATGTCACTTTCCTGTCATTTAATGCTCATGGGATCAGCTCTGAGGACAGAAGGGAAGATTCATAGCAACCAACTCACAGAAGACTGATGACCACAACACCCCCTGCTGGAGCAGGACCCTCCCTGCTGCCTAGTGGATATTAATCTGTTGTACCTGCTCGATCTGGTTAATAAATCCACTCAGCTGCTGGTAGATTGTCTTGAGTAATGTGGATTTGAGAGAAATGGAGTTGGATGATACAAAAAGAGTGTGATAAATAATAAAACAAAATTTTTATTGCATGCTAACTATGGTCTATCCACTGTTCTAAAATCTTTGAAATGGTGAATTCAATCTTCTCAGTAATCCTATTTGTATTAAACTTGTTTATACCACTATTATGCAGTATAAATCTGGAGTGGTGAATTATTTGGAATGTACCACGAATCCAAGGTCAAACCCTTAAAAAGTTTAAGATAACGGTTTGTCTGAAGGGCCTGTTAACAGAAGATAGGGATAGAATTGAACATGGGATTTATGAACCAAGGAGACACCATGACATAAGAGCACTGGGCAGGGAGGGTAGGGTGAGAGGGATTCCAAGTTCCACTTCAAATGCCAGTGGATTTGTGTCTATTGTTCTGTGTGACATCACCAGTGTGGTCTGAGTCCACAGAACTGACTGACTTTAAGTTCTAAGGAAAAGTAGACAACATTCCTTTTACATAGCTTTAAAGAGAAGAATTTTCTGACAATTGAAACAACTTCGTCGCTGGCTCTGAAGTAACCGTGGTCCCTCCAATCCCCAGCAGGCTGCTGTGGGGTCAGGGTCCCCTGTGCTGGGGACACTGCTGTTGGCCTCCACTTCATCTTCCCCCCCGGGAACCAGAATGATCTGTAGAAACAGGTGACTCAGTGCAGGCCCTTCCCCTTGTTCCCCTCCTGAGGGCCTGCCTGCTCCAGTCCAGGCTTCACCTGCCTCTGTTCTGCCCAGTTCTCAAGCCCCTGCTGACTTCCATCTCCTTCCTGCTCCCAGGTGTGCTCTGTGTCCTGTTCCATGATCACCAGATCAGAGTCTGCTTCTCACCTCTTTGCACTTAACGCGTCACCTGAGATAGGCTCAGCCCCAGCTGGGGGCATCAGTGATATTGCCCCGGACAGTCCTGGGCTTGGAGACATCACAGGTGATCTACCCTAATTTGTTTTCTGGACAACTGGGCAGAATGGAATCAAGTTCCCAGAGAAATTTGGCAACACGTGTTCAGAATGGCAAGGTTTCCAAATAGAAGGTGCCATGACCTACCATCATGGTTTACACAAGAGCCAAACCTAAGAGACCTTTGATCAGAAATGCTTGCATTGGGCTCTTCTACAAACGCAAGATAAAGTGCTATAACGATCAACGTCTGCAGCGTTTCCTGTTGATCAGTTACAAGAGCCATGGTGAACTTAACTGGCAACTGTATTTAACCAAATGTTATCCTGAAGAACCTTTCCATTAAAAAAAAAAAAAATGAAATTTGCCATTTAGAAACAGTGGATAGCCCCTCCCTCCTCCATCACTGCCTTCCCCCCCCAAAAAAAAATTAAACAGTAAAAATATCCTATATAATAAAAGTGTAGTGTACAAATTGTCCCCTGGACCGAGAGTTCATCTGGGAGTTTGACCAGGGGGCGGAGCTGACTGGGGGAACGGAGGTGAACCTCCTAACTCACCCCCCTCACCCTCCTGACCACCGAGGCAGCAGGTGCCAAGGGAGGGAAAGAGGTACCCAAATGCCATAGGCATCCGGAGGGAAGGAGGAGGTACTCTGCCAGCTGTTGGCATCAATCCCCTAGGGACCTACCAGCACATGAATTTTGTGCACTGGGCCTCTAGTTATGGCATAAAATTGTTTACCTAAGAAGGCAGATCATGTACCTCTCTCTAAACATAATTTTGTAAATTCATGACGTACAATATTTTTTTTTTTATCATTACCCCTTGATTGTGGTTTCAGGTAGTTTCCAGCTGATGCAGGAATGTGAGTGGAGATTGTTTGGGGGCTCAGCAAACACTGCAAGTGGAGAGAAAGAGAGAAAGAGAGTCAGTCAGTATAGAAATTTATTCTGAATTTGTTGACTTTCCTTTGGAAATTGTTACATTGTCCCAAGGCGTTTCATCATTTCCACTAAAACGACCTCCCAGGCACAGGAACTGTATTTCTTCTCTTCCAGGTAATGATAGATTCCTTGGAAGTACCTCTGGACGAGACTTTTCACCTTGGCGCAAGCCAGCCTATTTCCTTCCTCTTTCGCCTGGCTCTCCAGCTCCTCCAGGGTCCGTTGAAGGATGGACAGTACTTCAGAGAGGTGGTCGTGGTCCCATTCAGCAAAGCTGTGCTTTGTTGCGAAGACAGTTAAGATATGCGTGAGCATCGTGTGGTGAAGACAGGTGCGTTGTGTCTTCTTCATTTGGAGGGTTTTCTCCCGAGTCCAAGGAAATTTGAAGTTGCTTCTGTCTTCCAGGCACTTGTAAGGAGGGATCCTTTGCAGTTGATACAAAAGAAGTAAGACTTTCTTGTTTTTTCTTATATTGAGCCAACGTATGCCCTCCTCAAGAGAGCCAGCAGGGATGGAGCCGAGCATGGCCCCTACCACCAGCCACAGACAGATGTGGGCCATTGGGAATGGCAGTGATTCAGGGGCTACCGCCAGGGGGAGTTGCCGGCAAAATTAGCAGCAACTTTCCTTCTCGGGATTCCTAGAAAGCGTGATTCTCTAGCGGGCCGCCAGAGGGCGCGCAGGAGGCCTTTTGTGACGTGGCCTTTGTGGAGAGCTGAGCTCTGAACATTCGTTTTCAGTCCCTCTGGTCTGAGAGCAGAGAAGCTGGTCGGCCCCGCAGAGCCACTTTGTGCAGCTTCAATGGTGAAGGCAGAGCCTCCATTTGGAGGCTGCCGCTGCTGCAGACGGAGCTCTGCCTGCGCCTCCCGCGGATTTTATTCTTAGGAAGCCAGCACGGAGCCTGGCCTTGGCTGCGCTTCCCCAGGAGCGTGGGGTTTTCCTTCCTCACCCCCCAGCACCCCCCTCCCCCCGGAAATATATGTATTTTTTATTGTTTAGGCAGTACATATATTAGTACATATATCTCCTCCCCCCACCACCATTAACCTTCCCCCAGCCTTCCCTGCCCCTTGCCGCATGCCCTCATCCTCCCCCACCCCCCAGCCCAGTGTCTTGTGTCCATTGGTTGTGCTCATATGCATGCATACAAGTCCTTTGGTTGATCTATTCCCCTCTCTCCCCAGCACTCCCCAGCCTTCCCGCTGTAATTTGACAGTCTGTTCGGTGCTGTACTGCCTCTGTATCTATCTTTTTGCTCATCAGATTATAATGTTCATTTTCCATAAATAAGTGAGATCATGTGGTTGGTTTTTTTGTTTGTTTTTTGTTTTTATTGTCTGGCTTATTTCACTTAATATAATGCTCTCCAGGTTCATCCATGCTGCTGCAAATTGTAAGAGTTCCTTCTTTTTTACAGCAGCGTAGTATTTCATTGTGTAGATGTACCACAGTTTTTTAATCCACTCATCTGCTGATGGGCACTTGGGCTGTTTCCAAATCTTAGCTATGGTGAATTGTGCTGCTGTGAATATAGTGGTGCATATGTCCTTTCTGATTGGTGTTTCTAGTTTCTTGGGATATATTCCTAGAAGTGAGATCACTAGGTCAAATGGGAGTTCCATTTTTAGGTTTTTGAGGAATCCAGATATCGACCCAAACCACAATTAATATTTGACAAAGGAGGTGTGCACATACAATGGAATCAAGACAGTCTCTTCAATAAATGGTGTTGGGAAAATTGGACAGTTACATGCAGAAAAAAATGAAACTAGACCACCAACTTACACCATACACAAAAAAAACTCAAAATGGATACAGGACTTAAACATCAGACGGGAAACCATAAAAATACTAGAGGCATCCACAGGCAGCAAAATCTCAGACATATGCCGAAGGAACTTCTTCACTGATCTTGCTCCTAGGGCAATGGAAGCTAAAGGGAAAATAAACAAATGGGACTATATCGAAATAAAAAACTTTTTCACAGCAAAAGAAACCATCAACGAAACAACATATGGGAGAACATATTTGCAAATGTTATCACTGATAAGGGTTTAATCTCTGAGATCTCCGGGGAACTTACACAACTTAATAAAAGGAATATAAATGATCCAGTAAAAAAAAAAAATGGGCAACGAACCTAAATAGAATCTTTTCGAAAGAAGACCGAAGGAAGGCCGAGAGTCATATGAAAACATGCTCCAAGTCACTAATTATCCTAAAGAAGCAAATCAAAACAACAATGCAGTACCATCTGACACCTGTCAGAATGGCTATCATCAACACAGCAACAAACGACTAGTGCTGGCGAGGATGCAGAGACAAGGGAACCCTTGGGCACTGCTGGTGGGGATGCAGACTGGTGCAGCCACATTGGAGAACAGTATAAAGCTTCCTCAAAAAACTAAAAATGGGGCTTTCCTTTTGCGGGAAGCTCCAGTGAGGCCATTGTCACCAGAATCCATTCTCTGCGGGTCCAGAGCATGCGGGGGGGTTTGTGCAGAATCCGGGTGCTTTGGGTGCCAGATGTGACCAGACTCAGAGCCTGGATCTCCAGGGGGACAGCGAGGGCCCACTGGGGTCGCTGAGGGCTGAGCTGGGCGCTGAGCCTGGAGTGGCGGCTCCTCAGGGCGTTGGGGTCGCCACGTTACCGAGCCACTGAGGAAAGTTAAAAGAAAAAAAAAAAAAACAACAACGGGAAAGTGAGAGTATTAAAACAGCTGCTCCTGACACTACTGAAAATATTAAATTACTATTTTATATTAAAACAGCAAACAATTGAACTTTTAAAATATTTTAGAAAGAAATAAATATCCTTGTAATATTTTAAATTTATTTGAAACGTAATTAACACATTCGTTTAAACTTTAAAAAATAGTTGGCCCTGACCAATAGGGCTTTGGCCTGCAGACTGAAGGGTCCAGGTTTCATAAACTGGTCCATGGAGTAGAGCAGTAGAGGAGAGGAAGGTAAAGGATAAAAATGTATTAAAGTATTACCCACAATTTATTGACAAGTGAACTGAAGTGTTTGCCAGGTCTTCAGAGGGACAGGTTCAAGAAATCCTCCCAAACTGGTCTCTCCCTGCTCCCTGAGATAGTCACACAGCACACACGCAGTTATGGGAATTTGCTGATTCCCTTCACTGCCATCACTGTAACATGGGCGTTTGCTCAGGGCCCAGAAACATCCCTCAGCACGCTCCTAGAAGCACAACTGTCTGCAACCGTTTTGAAGAGCATAGAGCTGCCCCTCCTCAGCTGCTCTCTCCCTTTGGCTTTTCTGCTGATGAGACACCTGGAAGCAGAAACCACTCCAGAGCCAGAGGCAGCGAGGGCGGGGCGGGAAGGGAGGGAATCCTTCCAGTGAAGCAGGACTGGGAGGCTGTGGTAGGAGGACCAGAGGCCAATATCAGCCAACAAACACCCCATATCCTTTCCACTTTGCTCTCCAGACTCCGCCCAGATACCCCTACCCTGTCCTCTTGCTGACAGAATAGAAACCTTTACAATTCTGACATAAAAACCGAACATCTTCCTTGTTTTCCAGGGCTCTTCTCAATTCCATGGGTTTCCAGCTTTCCATAGGCACTTCCTCAGGAGTGGGGGACTGTTCTAAAGGACTTAAAAAGAGAGTGCTGTTTTGAGATAGATTAAACCAATAAGAATTTAGATTTTCAGAAGTAAAAAACTCAAGAACTTTTGTTTGGTAACAATTTAATGAATAAAACAAAACGCAAATTTAATAACTTTAAAAAGTTACATGCTTTGTAAATTTTAATACAAGGTAGGAACAAATATTGGTTATATAAGTACATAAATGTGATAAGAATAAATAAATAAATAAATAAATAAATAAATAAATAAATAAATAACCATTCAGGCAGTAACCTATCAGGCACTATTGGTAGGTAACATTTTCTTTCTTAAGACTCTGACATCAGATTTGCTGAGTAAAGTTCAATAAGCTGTGCGACTCAAGCAGGTAGAAAATCCCTTGCCCATGACCAAGGACCTATGGGCAAAGCTGAGATGGCACATGCATCAGTGAGAATTTTCTCAGGGCAACACCAGATCTCCATCCTCATTTCTCAGCCTTTCCTGCAAGGCTCTTGTTGAGGAGAAGGACCTCAGGATTTCTACTCTGACAACTTCCCAGGCGCAGTCACTGTATTGCTTCTCCTTCAGGTAGACACGGATGCCCTGAAAGTACCTCTTCAAGGCCAGGGTGGGGCCCTGCGTGGCCAGGGCAGGTCCCTCCTCTCCCATCTCCCGCGCCCAACAGGTGTCCAGGGCTTCCAGCTGCCGATGGAGTCCTGTGCGCAGCTGGTCCATGAGGGTCGTGTTCCAGGGGACAGAGGAGCTCTCTGTGGACAGGAGGTCGGAGATCTGCTGGAGCATCTGGTGGAGCACAGAGAGGGCCTGGGCCTTCTGGGCCTGGCTGCCATCCACCGCTGCCCGGGGGAATCGGAAGTGCTGTCTGTCCTTCAGGCAGAAGAGAGGGGAGATGGTGCTCATTTGGCTCAGAAGCACTAAGTTCTCCCTGCTGAGCAGGACGTGGTCCTGAGGTGGGTCACAGCCCAGAGCTCCAGCGGGGCCAGAGCTGAGCAGCACCAGGGCCATGAGCAGAGAGAGCAGGAGGGCCATGGGCAAAGGAGGGTGCTGCTGGCCTGGCTGAGCTGGGCGTCTGGTAAACAACCTTGGGCCAGAAGTTCTGCAGTGACCTTCTTTCTAGGCAGGGCCCTTAAATAGGGAACACCACAATTTTCATTTTCTAAACATTTCTTTTCCCTTTCACTTCCTTTTTTATTTTCCTTTAGGTAGTCTAAGAAGATGTCATCATTCTGAAATATTATTTTCTATTTTAAATTCCCAATAAATTTTATTTTTTAAAATGTATTTTATTGATTTTTTTACAGAGAGGAAGGGAGAGGGACAGAGAGTTAGAAACATTGGTGAGAGACAAACATCCATCAACTGCCTCCTGCACACCTGCCACTGGGGATGTGCCCACAATCAAAGTACATTCTCTTGACCTGAATCGAATCTGGGACCTTTCTGTGCACAGGCCGACGCTCTATCCACTGAGCCAAATAGGTGAGGGCTCCCAACAGACATTAGATGTGTCAGTCTTGGCACCCACATTACTTTGCACAGGGGATCCGACTCCCTCATTCGTGTGGGCTTGTGTGTTTTGTCAGGTCCTTCCTGGACCACACGTAAGACATAAGCTCTTTAGAACCAACGACTGAGTTGTATTTACTGTTGTGCTCCCTGCAGAGGCTGAGGATTTCAGTGACTGCGTTTCAGGGATGTCTCTCTTCTAGAACCCATTCCTGCAGGGCCTTGTGGCTATGCTTCACGGGGGCCACTGGGTCAGTACTTCTGTCATTTCCTTTCCAGCATTTGTCTCTGGTTGTCGGTGCTCCTCAGGCTGTGACAATACGCCCAGCAGGAAGTGGGGTTCTTTGCTGGTGGCTGTAGGTGTGGAGATTCTCATAACAAGGTAGTAATATTTTTCCAGCACCACCCCATTCCAGAGGTTGAGATCAGCTCTATAAC